AACATGGAAAACAATAAATTAATTCCAAAAAGAGCTGTTCACATTCGAATACAGTTGAATAAACGTTCACCTAAGTTGGTTTTGGATGCCATTTTACTCCAAAGAATATTAGTGTTAGAGCAGTTTGTTTCTGCTTCTAAACTTGCTCCCAAGGTGTTATCGGCTGATAAGTTAAACAGTTAATGGAAAGGTTGTGTCTTTGTTCAATTCTACATTCAGTTCCCGTGAAGAACTTCAGTGGTTCCAGCTACATTTTCTATAGGAGCAATGGTTACTGTACAATTGGGAAAGAAGCAAAACAATATGTGAACAGTCTGGATATAACCTTGTTTCTATTGAGAGTCGTGAGGAGTGGAACTTCCTGAAACAAACCATCCAAAAAGAGAATACCACTGAATACTTCATAGGTTTGAGGAAAGATACATCAACTGGAGTGTGGAGATGGTTAAGTGATAACAGCACAGTCGATGCGTCCAATAAAGGAGATTGGCCCTGGGCAAAAGGACAACCTAGCGACGGAAATGGTGAACTTAGCTGCGCGGAAATGTACAGAGATTATCTTAAAGACTTTGGGCGCTATAATGATGTCAGCTGTACATTATCCCTCAAAAGAGCAGGATTCATATGTGAATTCAAAGGTGGAGGAGGTAATAGACCCTTAATTCACATTACGCAAAACTGAGAATAAGAATAGGTCGATCGCATTACGGCCCAGTCCTTCTCTCGGAAGTCAGTTACACAGTGGAAGATATTGAAAGATTACATAACATAGTATAAACACTAGATAGACTGTGAAGTCACTATGGATCCTGATAATGAGACAATAAGAACTTCTTGTTCAACAGTTTTCTGAATAATTTTGATATATCTATCTATTTATTTATTTATAGGTTTATCTTTTTATCCATATAATGTTACCATTGCTTTGCGCTCCCTTTAAAAATGGATAGACAATCACAATATCACAATGACAAGTGAATTTTCATATTTTTGTCTAGAGAAAAAATCAGCGAAGGCGACGGCGTCCACCATAACAGGTAACTGTTGGCGTTGTAATTGTTGAAGACTTGACCTATGGAATGAATACTGCTTCGAATTCCTATTAGTACGCTAAACACCAACAAGCGATCAAATCTGCGTCATTAGCAAGTAAATAAGTAAGGAAGATACTTAATGTTATTAGGGTAACACTCAACAGTAATTCAAATTACTGAAAAACCTGCGGCCCTCTAAAAATAAACCATAACGCAATCAAAAACTTACACCTAATAATAGACGTTAGAGATTTTTTGTTTTGTTTTATTTTTTTGTTCTGTTTTTGTTTGTTTTTTTGTTTGTTTGTTTTTTCGGAAAAGTGATTAAGTAAATACATGCAAATTACGGAATAAAAGATGTAGATTTGAATGATTAAGTAGTTCTATCATGGCGATTATCTTATCGTTACCAAACGCATCCGAAACTAACTGCGATTAAAATATGTTAAGCTATCCAAAGTCCTGGAGTCGATTTGTTACTGTCGACAGCAAGTAAGTGAGAAATTGACTCTGATGATGACTTCCGCTCAGGTTGTCGAAACGTCGGCCACCATTGCCGACAGCAGTCCTTCTCAGGACTACACTCACCCGGACGATCAAACTATATTATTACATGACATATGAGTCGTTGATAATTCCAAAGTTCATAAAGCGCAAGCTCTGGATCGAATGTCTAGTTTCATTAATTAGTTGTTTTCTAGATAGTGGCACTTGATTTTAGATTTATTTTGATTATTAAACTGATTAAACGCTTCACTTTCGCGGTGAGAATTGCAAGATAAACTTCGGGATAGAACGCGTTTTGATCGATTATAAGAAGTATTTATCAAGAGCGACGGACGAGGATGTCATGGTATTTTTTCAAGAAGGAACTAGTGAGTGGTAGTGATCAAATTTATGTATATTGAATAATGTTGGTTTTACAAACATATCAAAGAACCCTACATCCTTCATCATCCTTCATCTGGTTGTAGCTTTAAAGCTGTTACCCTTGCGTCAATCGCGTCAGTACAAGTGTATTGCATAAGAAAATTGTTGGATTTCTACAATGTACGGACTTTGACTTTGTTCACTGTTTTTGATATATTACACTTCTTGCTCGTTCAAGTTAAAAATATAGTGAATTGGAAAGATTCAAAACAGTTTTTAATTAGTTAATGTCACTTTCAGCGGCCGACACCGACATTGAATCTGTGAATCAAATACTTACTCCTGAGTATGTTAATGCTTGAGCGGATCCGAATGCATCTGAAACTGACTGCAATTAAAATATATCAAGCTATCCAAAATGCCATTGACCATGTATACATGAATAAGAGAGAAACAAGAAGTTAGATGAAGGGGAAAAATCTTGAGTTGAAGCTTTTTCCTTAACCATGGCGTAAAGTTTCCAAAAAAATACCTCACCTTGTCGACTTCAATCCCGCGGGCAAAGCTTTTTTAAGACTTGAATATTCCACAAAAGTATCCAACACAATACACCCCTAATTTACTTGAATTAAACCAAAACACTTTGCTTCCCCTTTGATAGTCTAAAGCTAAAGAGAAAAGCTCAAATTAACTCTTCGTGTTTTTTTTCTCCATTCTAAATTTTTCTAATTGCCTGTTCTTGATTGCGTGATCTCTCGTCATTCATTCGCTGTTTCCTCCCAAGTCACACCATGAATGACTGGAAATTGCGTCGAAATCTTAATTGGTAGTTCATGCGTAACTTTCTCTTTCGTGGTGTTTTAAACATCCTCATTCAAAGCGCTGAACGATGGATTTAGTGAGGGTGTATGAATGATTTTTTCGGAGTTGATTTGGTACTGTCTAGAACAGGTAGGTGAGAGAGGAACATTAGATAATTCTGAAGTTCATAAAGTGCAAGCACTTAACTGCACGTCTAGTTTCATTATTTGGTTACTCGAGATAGTAGCGTTTGATTTTAGATTTAATCTCAAGCACTTTACTTTTGAGTTGAATTAAGAGAAAAAGAATTCTTGAGTGAAGAATCTCGGGATAAAATGCGTTTTGATTTATAGGGAAATTTATTTTTCAAGATTTGCAAGCGACGAACGAGGATAAAATAATTTGCAATGAGAAGGAAGTAGCAGTTAGTGTGTAAAATTATTGATGATCAAATTTATGTATACTGTGCAATGTTGGTTTAATAAGCATGTTTAATAACCCAAAATCCTCCTCTAGTTTTCATCCAGTTGTAGCTATATTACTCTTTGCTTTGAATTCCTCGCGACGGTACGCTGATCTTCATAAAGTTGAAAAACGTATAGCGCGACTAGCGTGACCAATTGACGTCACGGCAAACTGCACATGACATGAAATTTATAATAAAGTTCGGATATAACGCGCGCTGTCATTGATTGAAAGAACATGCTATATGAGAGTATAGAGCTGAGCTAAAGATGTCACGCCATCTGCCAAATTGGACTATGTCCGACCTTTTCCGGGGCTTTTCTCTAGCTTTTTTTCGTTAATTAAAAGTGAAATTTCGAAACACGCGAGCCGGCAAGTAGCAACAGAACAACCAAACAAAGGTTTATAAACATGCCAGGCGCCCTAATTGACGTTATTATAGCGTGACCAGAGACGAAAATCCTCAAAGAGAAAACGAAATAGACAGTCGGGGTTTTGAAGGTTTTCACGCTCAGTTAGATTACAAGCTCACGAATGGTAATATAAATCAAACACAGCTAACACTCGTATAGTATATATAGTTCGAGTTCAAAAACAAAACAGAACAAAAAAGGAATGATAAAAAATATAGCCAGATTGGCATAACTGTTAAAATTCATACTAATCATGACGGTGTCAGAGCGACTGCGATCATGCTGAGGTCCAACTTGGCTAGCTCGGAGATCGCCAGTGAAGCAAGCCTCAGAAATTACATCGACCGCCCTTTGAGTGAACAACTTAGAGCTTGCTCTGGTGTCCTTTCCGATGAGTTGAGTGGTGAAGGCCACGTCAGTCACTGCAACCGAGTTTTACGGCTCTGTCATCCCGAGCAAACTTCATTTCCGGTGAATTCGGCTGTCGTTCATTCGTAAAACTCGCCTTGAGCCGTTTGTTTACTATTTGTCATGTGAAAAAACTTGCGTGTTTTTATGAGCCACAATTCGGCCGGATTTCACTGAACATTTCACCTCCACATTCTGTATTAGAGACTAAAAAAAACTTCAGGCAAAAGTATGTAAACAATTGCAGAATAACATTCAATTGAGGTATTGAGTTAGCTTGAGAAACAGTACACTTCTCTAGAGTGAGCATCGGGATATCACTCGGGAAATGTATAGTTGTAGGGACAGTAGTTATGTTTCTTTAATAGCCACCTGTCGAGGGATTTGCTTCATCCATCCTGTTCCAACAAGCACAAGTCCTCCTAAAACATCAGGTGGGACAAAAGCTGTGACTACACAAGGCGAAACATCATCTGAAACAAAAGCTGTGACTACACAAGGCAAAACATCATCTGAACATAAAAGCAGTGCTTTATCAGGTAAGATAACAATCGATCATGTATCGATTGTTGATTTTAAGATATGTAGACGAGCAATATCCATATTGTGTTCATTTGTTAGTTTAAAGATTGCACACTTGGTTAAGTATTCAGTTATATCAGCCACAGCACTTTTAAGGATATGTATGTGGACGCTTCGAGAAAACCCCACCCCCCCAAAAAAAACCCAAAAAACCTTAAAAATTAAGTACTCTAAACCCATTATATCCAGGGACTTAGAAAAACTGACCTCACTCCTACTACGGCGAAATCAACAAAGAAAGTTCAGCCGCGGTTTCTTATTCATACGGAAAAGCTTTTAATTTTTTAAGCTCTACAAAGATATGACCTTAAGGGATTCCCTATGCGAGACTTTCTCGCAGCCCTCTCTCTTTCTATTACTTTCCATGTGTTATCCTGTTTCAGTAAGGTCAACCTAATTATCAGCTCGACTTTTATTTCTTTAAGCTTTGTTGACGGTTCAAACTTCCCCGACGACCACATTTCCAGTTGTGACTAAGGTCGATGACCTCAAGAAAGACACCAACTCCTTTTCCCTTTATCTGGCAAACGCTATTTTAGCAGCGTTGTTGTTTATAGTCATGATCATCCTCGCTGTGGTTTTGATACTGCTTCGAGGTAGGTACTCGGATTTTATTTGCATTTTCCTTTAAATTCAACTTGACTTTAAGCCATCTCTATTATCAATGCAATTTAGGGGCAGGCTTGATTAACATATCATTCAGTCATGATTCAACAACAATTCTAGAGATATATATGAATGTAATTGGCAAAGAAACTAAATGTTAGTAAAAGTAGTGAAAGAAGGTGAAAAAATAAACAAAGGAAACATTAATAATGGTAAATAACTAAAAAAAAATAAAAAAAACAGAAAGATAAACCGAGTTGTGACGAAGAAATGAATTACACCCTCTAAGTCTAAAGTGTCCTGGACTTCAATGTTATGCTGCCTTGTAAACCTGAATGGTTCTGAAGAAAATCATGCTTAAAGGATCATGAAATTACGCTGCAATAAATCTGAGTAAAATGACTGTCTTACATGACGTGCTCAAAGGAAATGGTTGGTCACATCACCAGTAAGCTTCGCGACTACCTCTTGGCTGTCAAGTTGTTAATTTGTTAACCCGAAGTACCAAGTGTATGTATGTGTTCTACTAAAATGCTGCCGACAAATCGGAAGTTTGGCGTCATTTCGTTTTTCCAACAACCTAAATTGAAACCTTTCGAAGAAAACAAAAGTTATTTATTTCTGTGTTTGCTGCTAACGGTGGTATTTCATCCATCAGCCTCAAGAATCAAAGTTGTCAAAACGTAAGTTGCTTCTTTGTCACTTTTATTCGTCATTTATTCAGTCTGGTGCACATATAAATTAAGGCCGAGTGTATCTCTTAAACAATACATAAAAATTATTCGGAAGGAATACATTTTCTCTGTGACATCCGTTTTAACTATCCACTTGGTTTGTTTCCAGCCGTTTTGGGACGGTAGAAAACTTACCCAGAAATGCAGATACAGATGGCTCTATGCTTTAAAAAGTGACAAAAGTCAGAAAGCCGATGTAGCTGTATTCGCTTAAAAGCCTGTGGACAAGAGCTTATATAATATCATAGATTTGTGCTATTCCCATATTTACTTACTTGGAAGCAGAAATGCTCGAAAAAGAGAGCTTATAAGTATTGGTGAGACGATTATGGTGATATACTTAGGAGCACAAACATTTAATTAGCGTTTTTGATAGGCTGAAACTAGTTTTCTCATGTCTATCTATGCAGAATTCGTCATTCCTATCGAGTTCATTCCATAGAAAAATTGAAAATTTCACGAAGGCGATCGACTGTCACTAGTGCACGGGGAAACCAAGCTATCTATGAGAGAACAGTATTATAATGCGTTACATGGGAGTTTAGGCTCCGTTCTGGAACTCCGTAAATAATAAGGCATATAACCTCTAACCTTTGGTTAGTGTTGTTTGTGTTATTTTTGTTCTCTGATGGCGATTCTAAGCCATTTTGTTGGATTTTAGCTGAGCTCTCATTCAACTATTGCCCACACTCAGAAGAAGGAAAGGAAGAAAGGCTTCTCCAGAACAACAGACTGACTCTCTCTCCAAAATCTCGCGATTCTCAGACTAAACCACGTCTTTTTGCTTCAAGGCTCTGCATCACTAAAGCCAAATACTTTTTGTTCAAGTTTATCAAAAAATATTTCATAAAAGTTCTGCCTTCGAGGGAACAATTCAGCGAGAATTTCAAATAACCGGCCAATGCGAAGCCAATCGAGCTAGCAGCAAGAACTTCTCGTGCAATTCGGCGACCGTTACGACACAGTCTACATGGACTCGAGTCAAATTCCCTGAGAGGGCAACCACATGTCTGACTTACTAGACCGAGTACATCACATCGGCTTATAATACACACTTATAATAAGCATTGTAAAATCATCCTTCTTTTTAGAGATCTTGGGCCTCTGTAACTGAAGGTCACAGAAAGAGGTTTCCAAAGAATGCTCTTAGGTTTTCTAATAAGTTGAGTAAATATCACATTCATGAATATTCGCCAAATAAATATGGGGTGCTGCTCGTTGTTCGTTGTTTAAAGTTTTAAAGGTTTGTTCGTCTTACTTTTGCCGTCAGTCTAATTCCATTTTTAGAAGTCATTAATAATGAACATGGACATTTTCACTCTTTTCTTTTTGTTTTTGTTTGTTTGTTTATTTGTTTGTTTTTAATTTTTTCTCTCTTTCCACAGGAGTCAACGAGACTTTCAAGAGAGCTTAGCGTTAAATACTTTGAATATTGATGCCCGGCCAGAGTTTGCTTCGAGAAATGGAACCGGGATTGAGAGGCTCCGTACTGAACCGCTTGTCCAACAGGAGGGTGTGTACATTGCCCTGTCTCCGGAGTCAATGATGGTAATTATACTTACAACAAAATTAGAGTTTGTCAATATGAGCCTTATTCAAAAAGGGACTAAAGGATGTGCCATACATTGTACTTCCTTTTTTCAATTTTTTAGCTGTTCTTCTTTGCTCTCTGCATGTGCCCCTTTCCCTGCACTTATATTGCTACTCTGACGCACCTTGACTGTGGTCTTTTAACATAAAACTTCCCATATTACATAAGTTTTATTGTTTTATCCATTTACCATTATTTTTCATCAATTTTTTCATCCATTTAAATCCTTATTTTCCTTTACATCTGTTTCAAACTTCACCTGTTTGATTATGACCATTTCGGGAATGGCGGGTAAACGGGTCTCATTTGGAAACAGGCAATGAGTTTTAAGCGCAGTGTCTAACAAAACATTCACTATAAATGTATTTGAATGAATGTCTAATTTTCACTTGGCAGTGATTATGGTTTCCTTCAATTTTTTTTCGTTTGCACCGGCGATTTTAGTCGTGTTTTCCAGCATTACCAAGCCTGCCAAGTCGATAATAACACAATTTTTGTAACATATAAAACTGAATATTTTGCAGACCTCTGAAAACGATGGTTCCCGAACGTACACTTCCCTTGTGAAATCAACAGAAGACAGCGACATTGAATATGTGAATCAAATAACTGCTGCTGAATACGTAAATGCTTATTAAAGGATCGTTCGTTAGACGATTGGCGCTAATCCTAAAAAGCTGAGATAAAATCATTCTACAGAGCTGGTATAGCTGCTGTCAGCTGATTTGAGAGTGTGCCGGTCCACGAGAGCACCAGATGCTAAATGCCATCTCACCGATTTCAGTTAAAATTTGCCTACCGTTGACACTGAGCTAGTTCAATCGCGCTTTGAGCTAATTGGTCCTTGAACTTATGTTCAATGTATATGGACGGTAAATTGATTGATAAGTAAATACATGAAAATTATGGAATTTGAATGATCAAGTAGTTTTATCAAGGCTATTATCTTATTGGTTCCAAATGCGTTCTAAATTAATTGCAGTTAAAATATATACGGTTAAAATATATCAAGCTATCCAAAAGGCCACAGACCATATATACGCGAATAAGATAGAGACAGGAAGATGAGTTGAATGACCGGAAATTGCGTTCTTATCTTAACTGGTCGTCTAATCATACCTTTAATTCACTTTTGTGGCGTTTCAGATATCCTCATCTAAAGTATTGAACGGTTTAGCGAAGGTGGTGGTATTGATACTTCTTGGAGTCAATTTGTTACTGTCGAGAGGAAGTATATGTGCAAGGACACGTTGATGATTCTAAAGTTCATGAAGCTCAAGCTTTTGATCGAATGTCTGGTTTCATTATTTAGTTGTTTTCTAGAAAGCGGTGATCGATTTTAGATTTATTTCGATCACTGATCAAACTGATTAAACACTTCACTTTCGCGGTGAATCAAGAGAATAAACCTCAGGGTAAGACGCGTTTTGACCGATTATAACAAGAATTTATCAAGAGCGACGGACAAGGATGGCATAATTTTTTTTTGGAGTAGGAATTAGTGACGATGGTAATGATCGTTACACGGTAGAATCTGGGTATGAGATTAGACAAAGACGTACACTGACCTGTTATGCAAAAAATGAGCTGCTGATAGATAATGGCATTCAAAAATGTATTCGAATCTCGGTTAAAGGAGAAAGTTTTCTATGATTTGAATGATCTGACTTTGCTTCCTAAAAGTACTGGTTGCGAGCAATTTGAAATTCCTAGCGAAATGATAAACAAACTTGTAACAGTCTCAGTCCTTGAAATGCGTCAACCACTTTAAAATCTTTAAACAATGAAATGACACAAATTAAAATTGTTCACTCAACTGTGCCGTTGAACTATTTAGCTTCATGTTATTCTATTCCAACTGTTTGATTTCCGCAATGGCCAATACCAAGTCACTTATTCAATTGTAACAAAATTAGGAAGGAAGTTAAAGTGTCAACCGCAAACCGTTTAACCGGAAGGAACAACCACTTGTTTTTGACCTTCACTTTATGTTTCATCGATATTGTTCGACACTTGAGTGAACTTCGGCCGCTTTAATTTCGCATCTTCCCTCTCTAGAAAGAGGAAGAATGTTTAAAACTTTTCCATTTTCTAAGTCTTCAATGTTTTCACAACCTACCCGTTTCGTGTGATCAAAATACCAAATTACGCAAAGTAAAACCCGAGAATAACCTGGACAGCTAAGGATGGCGAGTACTGACGTGAGTGGAGCCGACCAACTTGAATATCTATGCTAATTTTGACATGATATTCGAACCGTAACTTCGGTATGCTTCAGGTGTCTGTCTGATTTCTTTTCATGCTAGGCTGTAATGGAGATTACGTCTTGCTAACTTTTTTTATGGTTGGGCTTGGCTATCATGATACTTTACAGGCCCACCGAATAAAGGAAGGTAACTGTCCAATATTTCCGTGGTTTTGATTTTCAGTCGCAAGTTTTGAAAAATGGTCTGTTTGCATAACTCGATGGTTGAAGGAAACTACTTAAAACAGTGGAGGGAACCCTCCTGAAGTCGATGAAACCATCAACCTCGTGCCTAGGGCTTTTTAAGATAGCCAGATGTTTCTTCAGGGTGACTGCAATTATTGAAAACTGACAGAGAGACTCGTAAAGTTGATGTAGACACTTCACGGAAGACAGCTCATCATCAGGCCAAAGGGCAGAAAGAACAATGAACAGTCAGGCATGGGTGCTTTAATCCTTTATACCCTAAGAGCGATAAGCATCTAATTTCTTCCAACACTATAACCCCTTGAATCAACCTTTAAGGTTGTGAGAATAAAAGAAATGATTGTGAACTCAAAAGTTCTTGATTATTAAACAAATTCTCCTTGTAATTGTCATAGGAAATCTATGGAGGACAGTAGGAAGAATTTGCATACTGATGACACGGTGTAAAGGGTTAAGACAGCCACATTTCTTAATGAGAAAAGGAGCTCAACAAGAGTAGAGTTAAAAAAAAACGTAACGATATCAGGTAGAGGAAGGAGTCTCCACATACGAACATGTGGCTATCTCTCCTTGTTCGTGACGGGAAGTATTTACTTGAGTGTTGTTCACTGCCTGTGGATTGACTTCCTTTAATTTGTGTCCTATTAAGTTTGGAACGCGGAACATTATCGCATTGGGGTCCAGTCAGTGACAGATCTTTCCATACATTTGCAGTCCGGGTGGTGAACAGAATCAGTTGCAGTTGTTTCGAAAGCTGATCAGTACAGTAACACGTCTGCCGATAGAGAAACAGTAAGTATGATTCAGGCTTAGTTTATAAGCAACGCTGGTGGTCAGCGGAAAGGCACTTTCAAATTACGCAAACTTCTTTCCCTTTTCCTTTCCACATAAAATTCCCATCTCCATAAACCTGTTAATTCCACAAGATGCCTACCGAAACTTTAAGCATTCATCCCAGTGATCTGGCCTGGTCGCCTTGACTTTCACTTTTCTGAAGTTCACAGTTTGCTCACAAATCACCCTGTTTAAAGAAAAAAATTGTAGTTGGTAGATTGTAATTGTAATCGTAGTTGGTTGACCTACACTTGTTAGTTCTTGCCAAGCCTGTTCTCTTAGCTTGACACTCGCTGTCTCTTATCTCGCCTAAACCTAAATTGTTTTAAATACAATCTTAATCTTAGCTCTCCTTGTTGGTGGTCCCCTTTGAGAGGTTTTAAAACTCTGCATTTTGACGCCATCTAAAGTAATGCGTGCACAACGGTGTGCTCATGACGGGTTACAATTTCCGTTTGGTAATGGTGACGCACTCACCCAGAAGTTTGTGTTCATTTAATTATGTAGAAATTGTGTTCCGGAACAGACCTTCCATATCTGTGGTCTAAATTTTATGGTTGATTAGATCCCATATCTCAAGAACTGAACAACGCTAAAATTTTCTTTCCCGTCTCAAGAACTTGGTGTCAGATCAAGATAACGTCTATCTGATAAGTCGTAGTATTCTCATTTCCTGTTTGCTGGATAAATGATGAAAATCATAGGGAGCAGTTACATATTAAACACTCCTGGGAGTTAAAAGGCCAACATGGACCATATGCAATGTCCTCGTGTTATATTCTTTCTTGTGATAATTGGTGTTCGCCAAATGAAATGGAAGGTGAACATAACCCAAAGCAAATGTTTGGTATCGTGTGAAGTTGTATTTGTACAAATAGGTAGTTCGTTTTGTGAAATGACAATTTCCCTTTACGTGGGCTTGACGTAAGTGACTAGTTTCAACCCTAAAAGAATAATATTCTTAATAAGCCATACGGAAATCAGTCAGGTGCAAATCTATTAAGGAGGGAGAACATTTTTTTTCTGTAAAGACAAAGGGGTAATATGTTTCGACCACTGGTTTTAAACTGGTATCTCGCGTAGATCCTACAAGTTTGGATCTAAAAGCTGGTACGGCTCTGTTGGTGTTTGGAACTAATAATAAGTTTTTTAAACTTTCAGACAACATGACGTCTAATGAAACTGGTTTGGCTTTTTCTGGTGGTGGCATTCGGTCAGCGGCACTATGCTCTGGAGTCCTGCGCAGGCTGCTAAAGGATAACGCAAAAGTGGACTACCTGAGCTGCGTGTCAGGGGGTGGTTATACAGGCACATCCTTTCTGGATTGGAAAAAAAGAAAAGAGAAAAAAACAGAGGACAGCAAACAATGGCATGAAGAGTTCTTTGAAAACATGCGACAAAGAGCAGGTTATTTTTGTAACTGGGAGAAGCCATGTCAAGGAATCCTTGATGCGATTTTGATGTTCCTCCTCGTACTCACTGTCACCGTCATTGAACTGATTATAATACGCGGATCATACGCATTTCCACTTGCCTTTGTCATCGATTACCTCTTCGGAAAGTTACTTCGAGCAAAAGTGAATTGTGATCACTTTGCATCAACCTCTTCTCCAAGTAACCCAAACGCTACGGCGCAAGAAATCCGGAAACGCTGTCAGAAAACCGTAGTTTTCACTATGATTTCCCTGTTTTCAGTCCTGCTCGTGTTATTTGTCATCTTCTTTATTCTGTCGCAAACGTTATCCAGGAGGAAGTCTAGATATTTCAGACTTTTCTCACTAATTTCCTTCTTACTTCTTTCTCTTACTTTCCTCCCATTTGCAATCCACGATTTTTTCATTGAAATCCCCCTGTGGAGTCGAGCGATCATCGTAGTAATTGGTGTGGTTCTATGGTTCCTCCTACCTCTGTTGCGGGACAAAACGTCCTACGGCATTCTTATCTATCTCTATCCTTACATCATCTATTGGAAAGTGTACGAAGCCAAGGTTGTTGGTGTTGTGTATTCCGATGGGCTGTTTAATAAGCTGCTCTTTGCCTCCGGCTTTATTATGTGGTTTGTTCCCTACCTGGCACAATCACGGAAAAGCCTCAGCCATGTCTTCAACAGGTAAGACTAAAAAAAATTAATGTCTATCCGCAGAAAAGAAAGATAGGGTGGGTACTGGAGCAAAGTGGCCCCCCCCCCAGCCGGAGCTTATCCCGGCTATCTTAGCATGACTAGGAGTATGACTACTCCCCCCAGGAAAGGATTTTAGTCGATCACAACGTTATCCCCAAGAATTTTATCAGGCTTCTCTGACAATTCGCTGGTACCCTTTTCTATTCTTGTGTGGAGAGTGGGACTATGATAGTTAAGTCTTTCGCCCAAGAACACACCACATTGACACGGCCAGATCTTGAACCCAGACCTCTCGATCTCCAGAATTCGAAGTTCAGCGCACTACCATTTAGGCCACAGCGTTTACCATATCTGCAGAATGTTTACCACTAAATGATAACCAACTTAATCACTTATGACCCTACTAATTTGCAGATGGAGACTTCAGAAGGCATTTTACTCAAAGGAAAGTTTAGCTACCAAGGGATGTCTGGAAATACTCCATGACATTGTCTGCCCTTTATGGACATGTCTGAAGAGAAAACAGAAGCAGCAATCTTTGGAGGATGATCCAGCAAATGAAAGATCTTTGAAGCTAGCAGATCTCAGAGACCTTGAGCCTAAATATATATCAAACATGACCATCCACAGCTGGAAGAAAGAGGAAGATTCTGACTCAGATGATGATCTCCTGACAATGTCGCCTACCACAATAGAATGCTGGAAGAAAGAGGAAGATTCTGATTCAGATGATGATCTCCTGACAATGTCGCGTACCACAATTAAAGATAAGCTGAGGCCTCGAGATATAGAGTTGTCAGACGCCATGGCGACGTCTGCAGCAGCGATTTCCAGATACGATAATAACTTTGAAGTACTCCGCCTTTCCACGATTCTTGGACTCGAAATGGGAGCCACAGTGATCAGTAACTTCGAGGCAATTAAAAAAGAGGGATGGCTCATGAAGGTAAGAGGGATCAGATAACTTTCATCTTACAATAACTCCAACAGGACTGCTGTTGAGTTTTGGTCTTCCCAGGGAGTTTCTCTCTGAGAATGATATTCGTTTGGCAAGGACATACTATGCTGAGTGTACTCCAATGCAGTTGGGATCAGTTGCTCTGACGGAACAGGAGGGGGGGAGCTTCGGGAAAGGCAGGATTTTAAAGGAATCATAGGGTTTTCAGGGGGGAAGAGATCAGTCGTGGCCAACAGATTATAAAGGACAAACATTACCTGTCTTCCCATAAAGCCTTATGGGAAGATCTGGTAAATTTTATTGTGACACCTCCAAAGTCTTTCCAACCACTCCCCCCATCCCCCCCCCTCCCCTTCTCCCTTCCTCGTGATAAATAATGACCGATCTCTAAGCATAATATTTGCTCGGCAAGTATATATCATGTTGAAACAGACTAACAGTAAGGTGACTTCCTTGATTCTGTCATTAATTAATGCGTCAGGCCTGCATGTATCTTTTTCTCTTTACAACAGCTCCTCCCAATTCTCATCAACATTCTCCGTGGTCTTCCATTGATCGCTGTACCAGCGGTTTACTATGGCAGAGGAGATGTGTGGTCAATTAAAGCAGGAGTATTCACATTCTTTGCAATTCATCCGATGTTGGCTTGTATTGGAGCTTTCGCTGTTACAGGAGCTGAGATCCCAAGCTTATGGGAGAAGATAGCCAGGTAAGGATTGTATAAATCTTAGCACCTTGCGATGGTGTGGCTAGACCCAAACCTAAATACTCATAAATGTCAATCTGAACAATGGGAAATATTGGAAGGAGCCTGGGAGAACTCGTGGTAAATTGTTCAATGCAACCAGCCTTAAGGGCAAGAAAAATAAGCACCAAAAAACTGGTTTTCCTAACTGATTAATGCAGAAGGTGGTCCAGAATTTTGAGTAAAACTAAAGCAACTCTTGTGTTCCTTTGACACACCACTGGAATCGCTCTAAATGATAAGTTGAAGGAACCCAAAACGTCCATGCCTCAGTTATGGCGACCAGATTAATCCCGATCGGAAGTTAATTGAATGAAAGCTTTCTATAATTATATATAATATTTATGATCATTGTGGTTACTTTGTAAATCGTCATACGACTTGAGCCCACTCCAATCACAGAGAGGGGTAAAATTCTCAGCTTATAGTTTGAAAACGTCAGATTTAGAATCTCTTTATGGTGGTCCATTTACATTATCAACTCAGTTGACAAAACCAAATCATCTTGTAATACCTTCCACCGATGCAGCATCACGGTTTCTTTAGAAACTTACTCCCTTTAAAAAAATATATTATGTTATTTTACCAAGGTAGTTCATCGTGCACGTGTCCTTTGTGCAGTTCGTGAGAGAGGGCCTTAACATTGAAAACATCGGACCCATGCCTCCTCCCGTCATGCTTCTCAGCGATGGAGGCCACGTGGAAAATCTTGCTATTTTGCCATTGTTAAAGAAGAAACTCAAGAAAATTATTGTGGTGGATGGCGGTTACTATTCCAATGAGATGAAGTATGGAAAATACCTACTGAGAGCTGGCTCGTAGAGACCTGAACTGTTCATTTATTGGCCAGGGCGGTCGTGACGTCATTTCAGACATGTTGGAGAATTTCGTGAGGCTTCAGAAACCAGATGAAAGAAAACCACGACATTTCAGGTACCTTGAGTTGGCACAAGAGATAATGAGTTCCCATTTTTTCTACGTGAAGCTTGGACCGAGTTCACCATGTGCAATTATCTTCAGCTAGTCTTTTTTGCTTCTTGTTGAATCACTGTCTCTTCCATAGTTTTGAAAGACGTTCTACACGACACAAAAATTACCACTGTAACAAAACCTCTTTAATGGCATAAAGTCAATGAAAGCTGGAAGATCTGAAATTCAAACAAGTTTATAATTTCTTGATTCAAAACAATCATTTTTTTATCCATTGTTTCTTTTTTTCGCTAGATTTAAAGTTGAATACTACGAAAACGACCACAAAGTTGGTGAAGGCGAAATTTTGTTCATTCGGCCAAGAGATCCGCGAAAAGGTGAAAAGAGCGAGGTCAAAACCTGGGAAGAGTTTGGTTTCCATCTGGACGCACGTTACTGGGGGAATAGTCCATATCTGAGCGAAGACGACGTCGACGAGTTGACCTTCTGTTGTTGTGCATGTTGTAACAAAAGGTCCCACCTGAGCGGTTTGTCTGAGCTCCTCTGCCACAAGTTCCCGAATCACAGCACAGCTAATCAATTCTTTACACCTTTAATGTTCTCCGCCTATCATCGTGAAGGCTTCCGAGCGTGCGTTGAAGCGGAAGCTGCTGAATTTCTCAAGGATAACCACGATGTCCTTGAAGTGTGATTGTTTCTCAACTGAGAGTGTGTGTATGTAGCCAACCCTTTCACTCCCAAGAGGTCATTAGTAATTCTCCTTACTGCCTGCCTTACGATTCTTATGATTTTAGTTCTGAGAATTTGATATTGGATCAAGAAAGGAGAATTTGTCATTTGATCACTTGGGGGAGTTAAAGGGTGGTAGGTTTGTGTACATAGGTCAGATGGTGTGCAGAATTAATTTTGCAGGCCTCCGGTTTTTAAGGCTATCATTATTCCTCTTGGGTTTATTTTTAACTTATTGTCCATGTTAAGTATATATTGGACACAAGAAAGTCTAGTCTCGGTAAGAGTTAAAGAGACAATCGCTTCTGTGTGACCTGTACTTCCTGTGTGATCAATATTATTTGACATTTGAGAGAACATCGGCCGCTTTGCTTTAGTTTTAGCCTTTCTCTAATAGTAACAGCGGGTAAAATTTTCTAATAATAATAAAGTGTGCGTAGTCTCAGTAATGGAATCCTTTTATTGATGGTCAGGGGATAAAAGTTTTGTGAGAACGGAGGCTCTACCGTCACTTCGGATGTCACGTTACTGTTCTCGCGTTACATGCCGATAAAGGGCTGCAAAGGAAGCTAGAAGGGCTAAAGGTTTTCAATCCCCTAAAACCGCCTGCGTGGGAGGCTAAAAAAAGCAGCACAAAAGTTGACATTCTTATTTAAGCATGAGCCAGGCACGCAGCCTTTGCCCTTTGCTGTCGTTTTTACTGCGACCCCTTGATGATATCTGGACATTCTTAGCCTTGCCCTGTCCTGTAATAGTGACCTTTGATTTCTTGTTCAACGACCAATTTATTACCCGGTACTTAAAACGTTTTAGTGCATAAGGCGCCATTCCCAGTCAATACATGAAGTGGATTAAGAGTTTGACTCTTAAGACTCAGCGCTTAATCCATTTAAATTCATCGTGAATTTTACCGAGGAACGTGCCTTTTTAAGCGTGTCCAGGAATTCAGATGCTGTTGTCATATTGGTGAGCGTATCGTCTACATATCTTCGATAGAAAGAAGGGAGTTTGCCCTCTCGCTTAAGGTTTTCTTCGATGTGGGACATGAACACATTAGCTAGTAAGGGATTAACACCATCCGTCTGCTCGCACAGGGCAACATTGAACTGGAATAGTTGTTCTTTGGTAGCTACACTGAGAAGGTCAACAAGATAGGTTTTGGTGAGGTTCAAATCGTATGTTGTATTAAAACAGTTGTTTGTGAAAGCTCAGTTCGCGAGAACCTCTACCGTTTTATCTAAGGGTACGTTAGTAAACAGGGAAGACACGAAACCAAAATATCACCGTTAGCGATTTTCAAGTTGCGAATCTCGTTCACGAATTGAAATATTTCAGTTACTGTGTAACAATTCAAGGACAAGGGCGTAAGGCTAGTGTCGAGACATCTTGCCAAAGTGTAGTTGTATGTTTGTGTTGCTGATAGCGTAGGGTGCATCGCCAAGCACTACTCGTGCGTTTTTGGAAAACCATACAAATGCACTAATCTGGGGCCTGTAGGGCGGTCCCGTGTGTGCTGTAGACTTGAGAAAGATTCTACGGACGATGGGATTTAAATCTTTTTAGAGACCACGATGGAGTCTAAATCCATTTAGAGACGAAATCTCAGCAGATATTGTGAGAAACCAACCAAAGGATCTGAGCCTAAAAGGACTCACCACCATCTAGCCTTTGTCTGTGAGCCGAAAAATTGAACACGAACTAAATGTTAAAGAAACAAAACCACTAATTGTAAATCAGCAGTGTGTTGTTTATAGTTTTCAATGTGACCTGTGCGATGCGGGTTATGTATGTTACTCGCGTGTACATTTACATAATCGTGTAAAAGGACATAAATAACAATCCTCCGCCATTGCCAAACACTACAAGAACGTGCACGGGACGATGCCTCATGACCTGCTAAAGCGTTTCAAAGTGCTCAAGAAATGCAGAAACAAATGTGACTGTTTACTGTACGAAATGCTTCTTATAAGAGCTTCACCAAAAGCCAAATCTCAACATGCAATCAGACTCCATTTGGGCGAAAGTATTTTCATAATCTTAGCACCCTTTGATGTTAACTCTTCGCGTCGAATGCTGTAATTTGCATGATCTTAGATATCTTACCTTGATAATGGAATCATGACTACTCCGAAACGTCGGATTTTATTGTTCATTTTTACCGTTTTATGTTTAAAGAAGTCTCTTTTAATACGAATTTCATATGCTGATCCCAAAAGCCACCGAATCCTGCGTTAGCAGAAAAACTGGACTGGTAGAGCTGGAAATATGGATGGAATGGCAACTAGGACAGAGTTCTATCAATCAGTTTCTCTTTGTGTATTGTGTATACGTTGTTTATGCTTGTGATGCGCAGACAAATTGTATCAAGATCTTAACTTCGCTGAAGCAAACCGCTGAATTTTTTAATGCATTGGGCGAGATTTACAAAGCCTTCTCAGTCCATGAAAGGCACCTGGCGTACAGGCTCCCTAGTATTCAAGAGGCGGTCGGGCTGGTCAGCGACACTCTTCAGTTATTGCACAGGAATGAAACTTCTATCCGAGGCGAGGTCGCCAATTTACCAAAAACCCTCAATGGCCCACACGTTAACAATATAATAATAATAATAATAATAATACTGATAATAATAATAATAATAATAATAATAATAACAACTTTATTTAAGGAGGGTAACACATAACAGTAATTCAACTGATAAACTAGTGGCCCTCGATCCTAAAAGTACCATAATCAGAGTGAAAATATATAAAATGTATGTAAAATGAATTCGAGGATTATAAAACAGGTCCGTAAGAACGCAAGCTAAAAACTACATAAAATAAAATATGCCATATGGATCGGGTTAAAATACAATATGCCGCTTGGGTCGCCTCGGTTTCGCGATTGAAACGAGGGCAGGCGAGATTCAATTTACTTTGCATTCGGACTTAAATGTTCTACTTCATCGTAGCTCGTTAGAAAATGTCTGTGAAACGCCTTTCTGAAAGAGGCAACTGTTGTCGCCTCTTTTTTTAGGTTAATAGGTAGCTGGTTCCACAGCCTTGTCGCACATACGCAAAAGGTCCTCCCTCCCTCGGTTTCGCGATTGAAACGAGGGCAGGCGAGATTAAATTTACTATAATGACCAGTTCGTGAGTGTAGGTCTGCATTAAATTTAAGTATATCGTAGATATATGAAAGAAAACTTTCTAGTAAACGCTTAAAAACTAAAACGCTCTTATTTAACTTGACTTCGTCATAAAAAGGAAGACACTCTAATTTCTTAGAGTTTCACGTGGCATCTAAGACTGTTGTGTCTGTTGAGTTGAGATGCTTAGAATACGCCTTGAAAACCTCCAGAAAGTCTCAGAATTATACGGATATGACTCTCTTAACCTGTTGAGTCGCATGACACTAGACGTGGAGAATATTCACTCGGTTGTGCATCACAGAGATCCACTTTGCACAGAGTTGAACTACGCGACAAACTTTGGAAATGCAGCCGAGGAAGGCTTGAAGAGGACAACCCATTGGGCGACGTACTATTTATGGCAGCCATACCAGTAATTCAACCGTTAGCACCTGTACCGATGGCACCACAGAGCGTAGAATAGACGATGGACTGGGCTAAAACATTTGGTGCTGCAGTGCGTCAGCGTTATATCAGACAGGAGAGGACAATGGCAAGAGCTGGAACTCTCCCATCGTACCTCTATCAGAGTGAAATTCAGCCGGGTGAACCGGTCAGCCTCGAACGCTCTGACCTCGAGGAGCAGCAAGAAAAAAAGCGGACAAGAAGAAGAGGAAGGTGGGATGTTAGATTACGATTCCCCTAAGCAGTGATGAAGAATCGGCCGACGACGAGAGCGCATGTGATGTTGGCGAGATTCCATCTTTCAAACGAGAGGCGAATTTTCTCCTCGTAAGAGTTTCTCGCTTCTGAGAAAGTATTCGCTTCAACAAGCACACTGGGAGCTGGTCTTTTTGATGGTTCTAAATAAACCCTCCAATAGTGAATAAATGACCGCAAATATATGAAAATCATATAAATGTGAACTGCGGTTGAAGAAACGAATATAAAAGCGATCCTCGCAGTAATGAATACCACTTAACTAGTAGGCCCTTTAAAGTTGAGGTATTGGACGAACAAAATATTTATGAACCGGATCGGGATTCACCGATATAAACCATCGGGATTACGGGATTAAGAGAAAATTTTAGTCGGGATCGCGGGATTGAGGAACCCTATTGGAGACCCTCATGAATATCAAGCGATGTAAAATCATCCTACAGAGCTAGTAAAGCTGCCGTCAGCTGATTTGAGATTGTTTCCACGAAAGCACCAGGCAGTCATGCTACATGCAATCTCACCGATTTCAATGAAACTTTGTCTACCCCAACACTCAGACAGTCAAAATGGTTTCTTTTTTGGTTATTTCCGGGAGGATATAAATCCCCCGTTTTTTCTTGGTTTTCACTAAAGAAATCGTCTCAAAATACCTAAATCTATGAATATCTCACTGCAATGGTATTTGAATGATTACTCTGAGAGATTGCATATATATTGTTACATCTTTAGTGAATGCACGACGCAAGTATCAGTCAATTTGATTGACAGTTTGTTAAGGCAAATACATGACGGTTTTTTTTTAACTTTTCGATTCATCATCGGGTCACTTAAGAGAATAAAACTACATTTTATAGCTCTCTATACGAGATAGTTGATCAAGGAAGCTAAGAAACGTAAACAACATTCGAGATATTTCACAGGAATGGAAAATTTAACGTTTAGGGAGAAGCAAATAGGCGACCTGTTGATGGGAAAACTGTAGCGTTATTTTTTCTGTCGTTTATTACTTTGAAGACTTGCTGAAATCAACAAATATGGTATTTGTACGGTACAAAACATTAATTAGTCTATCACTTGATTGTTTATTTTCATTTTCGCACAGTTAACAATTAAGAAACTGTAACGGGAGAGGATATTTTCAAGTCACATGTCGAGTGCTCATTTCAACAACCGGCCTCAGGAGTTCTCTGATGCGTTATAAAAATTCATACACGCAATATAAACAGTGGAATTCCTGATCCTATTGAGGAGTTTTAATTGCTTGGGATAAATGTGGACTAATTTGCTGTCTTTGCTTGTCACGCTCATCCCCTGTTTATAGACCTCACTTCCTTATTTTATTTGTTTATTTCTCATTCAGCTGAGATAAATGTCACGATAGAGATACTTTAAAATCAAATACAGACCAAGATATTTTAAAATCGATTCAGATGGTAGTAGAAAATTGTATGTCGTGTTGGGCTAGGAGAGAAAGTCAGGAGTAATGCCAATGTTGGCTAAGTTAAAAAACAGAGCAACCATTTGGAAACTCAGAAAATCAATTGCCTTGAGCATCTCTTTGTATAGCCCCCAGAATAGGGCAAAAGAGAAACGAGATGAAATTTAGATTAAGCTTGGAGCAGAAAGTTTCTTTAAAAAGCCTTAAATCATGGCTCATCTCATGGCTAATACCAATCACTGCTTTTATTAAATTATCCATTGTAAGCAGAATTTATCGAAATATCGCTTAAACCGAGTTCACTGCAATTGTTTGGTTTCCCAGCACCTCGATGACTCGTTCATCTCGATCATAGCATTTTCAGCAATTCACGCCGACAGTCTTGATAAATATGCGAATCCAACGTTTTTCAGCTAAACTGCCATCCTTAATTTAGTTCCCGTACGTTTACTCCTGACAATTGAAAAAAAGGTAAGTGACTAACTTAAACAATAATATGAATATATATATATGTACGTACATGTTTAAACTAAAAAATGTCTAGTGATAACATAAACGCCATTAAAGCGTCTACATAGAAAGTACTCTCATTTTTTTAATCAGTCAATGCTTAAACGAAACTTTCATTCTCATTCAGCAAAACACTGTATAATTGGGTAGAAAGTACTGAAATTAGTCTGAGAAATCTCAGACTCTTTTAAGGCTAAACACAAAAATGTTTATACTGATAAAGCTCTGAAGGAAATTGTAGAAAAAGGAAATGAAATTGATTTACGAGAGCTATTTCCAAACGGAAAAAATCAGTTGTTAAAAGCTTATCATAGAGTAAAACGAAGATTATGTTTCAGATGCTACTGACTTTTAAAAAAACGAGAAAAACTGATTCTTTAGTTCAGCCGTAAATATCGAAAAGAATATTAAAGGAGGAAGCGTCAGATAAAGAGTAAAACTACATTCGTGCTTAATACACGTGCGTGTGATTGGTTTTGACAGTCTTGTCTTAGCTCGACTTGGACGAAATTACCTGTTTACAAGTGCGGAACTGAAGCGCCTGTTACACATATCATACCGCGATTTGCGAACAATTTTGTTTTTAAAGCTTGAGCACACTGTGGGAGACAATTGTTTGTTGAAATGGAGAAAGTGTGCTCTCTGATATATTCTGCTCTTCTTGTGCTTACTAGAACCATTTACGTAAAGAGTGATGCTGGTAAGTACAATCTTTAGACAAACATCTACGTTTTTTTCTTTTTTTTCTTTTTTCTTTTTGAAAGCTGATTATATAGTATGCCGGCTTGCTTGTTAAGAGAAAAAAGGATGATACTGTAATTGGCCAGACAAATAATGCTTACCGCACTTTAGATATCGCAATATATTCAGACTGTTCCGGCGAATGCTTGGTCATTAACATTAACGCCGTCCGTTGGGACGGCCGAACAAAACACTGCATGCTAGAATTCAAGTCTTAACTAATTATTATTCGAATCGGTCGTGTCAGTTGATTGTCGTTCAGCAGTCGCAGAGTTAGGACAAAAAGAACTGTACGTTTAGTCGCTGTGTTTTCGTTTTCGAATTTTGTAACAGTCGTAGAATTTATCGTCGAAGCACAGGCACCACGAAACCATTTCAAATTTACAATCGATGCAGCCATTTTTTGGTGAAAAAAAAAAAGCCGAAATTAACGTTTTGTATTGCTCAAGGGAGCTGGTTGAAGAAATAGTTCAATAAAATTAATGCGCAACAGGCACTGTGTTAACTCCACACATAAGCGCTTAGGATCCAACATTAAAATAAACCTAAATTTTATTTAGAAGAATACTTATTCGACAGATCGGTAAGCTAAAACCTATAAGGTGGAACTTTGAAAATGGGGCAAATATTCTTCGTATGAAGCTAATCGCATAACAAACAAAAGACAACGAATAAAAAACGAAAAACAAGAAGCAAAATACAAAACAAAACAAGGAAAACAATAAATAAATTCCAAAAAGAGCTGTTTACATTCGAATACAGTTGAATAAACGTTCACCTACGTTGGTTTTGGATGCTATTTTACTCCAAAGAATATTAGTGTTAGAGCAGTTTGTTTCTGCTTCTAAACTTACTCCCAACGTGTTGATAAGGTCAACAGTTAATGGATAGGGTGTGTCTTTGTTCAATTCTACATTCAGCTCCCGTGAAGAACTTCAGTGGTTCCAGCTACATTTTCTATAGAAGCAATGGTAACCGGTACAATTGGGAAAGAAGCAAAACAATATGCGAACAGTCTGGATATAACCTTGTTTCTATTGAGAGTCGTGAAGAATGGAACTTCCTGAAACAAACCATCCAAAAAGAGAATACCACTGAATACTTCATAGGTTTGAGGAAAGATCCAACTGGAGTGTGGAGATGGTTAAGTGATAACAGCACAGTGAATGTGTCCAATAAAGGAGACTGGCCCTGGGCAACTGGACAACCTAGCGACGAACATCTTACTGAGAACTGCGCGCAAATATACGGAAATTATAAGTATGCCGGGCGCTATAATGACGTCCTCTGTTCTTTATCGAAAGCCAAAGCAGGATTCATATGTGAATTTAAAGGTGGAGGAGGTAATAGACCCTTAATTCACATTACACGAAACTGAGAATAAGAATAAGAATAGGTCAATCGTATTACGGCCCAGTCCTTCTCTTGGAAGTCAGTTACACCATGGAAGATATTGAAAGATTACATAACATAGTATAAACACTAGATAGACCGTGAAGTCACTTTGGATGCTAATAGTGAGCCAATAAGGACTTCTTGTTAAACAATTTTCTGAATAATTTTGATATATCTATCCATTTATTTATTTATAGGTTTCTCTTTTTTTCCATATACTGTTACCATTGCTTTGCGCTCCCTTTAAAAATGGATAGACAATCACAATATTACAATGACAAGTGAATTTTCTTTTTTTTTTGTCTAGAGAAAAAATCAGCGAAGGCGACGGCGTCCACCATAACAGGTAACTGTTGGCGTTATAATTATTTAAGGCTTGACCTATAGAATGAATACTGCTTCGAATTCCTATTAGTATGCTGAACACCAACAAGCGCTCAAATCTGCGTTATTAGCGAGTGAGTAAGTAAGGAAGATACTTAATATTATTAGGGTAATACTCAACAGTAATTCAAATTACTGAAAAACCTGCGGCCCTCTTAAAATAAACTATAACGCAATCAAACACCTACACCTAATAAGAGACGTTAGAGATTTTTTGTTTTGTTTTGTTTTTTTGTTCTGTTTTTGTTTGTTTGTTTGTTTTTCGGAAAAAGTGATTTAGTGCATACATGCAAATTACGGAATAAAAGATGTTGATCTGAATGATTAAGTAGTTCTATTATGGCGATTATCATATCGTTTCCAAACACATCCGAAACTAACTGCGATAAAAAATATCAAGCTATCCAAAGTCCTGGAGTCGATTTGTTACTGTCGAGAGCAAGTAAGTGAGAAATTGAATCTGATGATGACTTCCGCTCAGGTTGTCGAAACGTCGGTCATCACTGCCGACAGCAGTCCTTCTCTGGATCGAATATCTAGTTTCATGATTTAGTTGTTTTCTTGATAGTGGCACTTGATTTTAGATTTATTTTGATCATTAGACTGATTAATAAACGCTTCACTTTCGCGGTGAGAATTGCAAGATAAACCTCGGGATAGAACGCGTTTTGATCGATTATAAGAATTAGTTATCAAGAGCGACGGACGAGGATGGCATAGTATTTTTCCAAGAAGGAACTAGTGGATGGTAGTGATAAAATTTATTTATATTGAATAATGTTGGTTTTACAAACATATCAAAGAACTCTACATCCTTCATTATCCTTCATCTAGTTGTAGCTTTAAAGCTGTTTCCCTTGCGTCAATCGCGTCAGTACGGGTGTGTTGCATGAGAAAATTGTTGGATTTCTACAATGTACTGACTTTGACTTTGTTCACTGTTTTTGATATATTACACTTCTTGCTCGTTCAAGTTAAAAATTAAGTGGATTGGAAAGATTCATAACAGTTTTTAGTTAATCAATGTCACTTTCAGCGGCCAACACCGAAGTTGAATCTGTGAATCAAATACCCACACCTGAGTATATTAATGCTTGAGCGGATCCGAATACATCTGAAACTGACTGCAGTTAAAATATAACAAGCCATCCAAAAGACCATTGACAAGAAGTTGGATGAAGGGGAAAAATCTTGAGTCGAAGCTTTTTCCTGAACTATGGCGTAAAGTTTCCAAAAAAATACCCGACCTTGTCGACTTAAATCCCGCGGGCAAAGCTTTTAAGATTTGAGTTTTATGGCTCTGTCATCCGAGCAATCTTCATGTTCCGGTGAATTCGGCTGTCGGTCACTCGTAAAACTCACCTTGAGCAGTTTTACGGCTCTGCCATCATCAGTTTGTTTACTATTTGTCATGTGAAAAAACTTGCGTGTTTTTGTGAGCCACAATTCGGCCGGATTTTACTGAACATTTCACCTCCACATTCTGTATGAGAGGCGAAAAGAACTTCAGGCAAAAGTGTTACATTCGACCTGCCAAACTATTAAAGAATGTAAACAATTGCAGAGTGTGGACTTTGATGGTACTCAAGAAGTTCTTCCGTGCTCGAGCCGCTTTCTGCGTGCTTTACAACAGAACAGGGCACAATCAAGGCTTCTCTATTTGTTAAGTATAACGCAACCCAGGCGTGTTCCATGGAAAAATTAACGGAATTATACAATTTGCTGACTTTTGTGTATATTACACTGCTTGCTTGTTTAAAAGAAAGTCATGTGAATTATAACGATTCGAAAGAGTCTTAGATAATCTAACTTTTAGCGCCCATCTTTCCTGAATTTCAAGAAGGTTGAAACATGGTCGCTATTCCCCAGATCCTCCTTCTGTGTAAATTAGGTCAGCTTCAGAGGGGGGAAATGATGATAACGATTGTCTCCGAGAAAATCAAAGTTGATATTCTGCACATAACAGTTGACCCAGTAAACGTTGCATTCTCCCACAGACATATAGAGACGCACTTCACTTTCACTAATTTATAGTCCAACTTTTAAGTAATTGTGTTCTTCTAGATGGAGATAGGCTATGTTTGTGTTATACCTTCAATAGAAGACAATGGACATGGCCAAATGCAAGGAACTCCTGTAAATCCAACAATAAAATACTCGCAGTGATGGAATCAGAGCAGGAATGGCAATTTATTAAAAGTGAGATTCAAAACAAATCAGGCAACAGATTTGATGAATGATTTATAAGCTTGGAAAAAATTCAACAAAAAAGAGATGGACTTGGATCAATGGTAAATCTGTGACTATTCACAAATGGTTTAAAGACTTCGTGAGTTTAGTTTAAATTTGTACGGGATTGATACTTGAAGACTGAATCTGATACCTTACCCATCCGACGCTTCAAATTACAAAACTTATCACCAAAATGACTTGCCTTTATAAAAAATGATTGGTAAATTATATTTTGATGTCTTTAGAGAAGAATCATCTCGCAGTTTACCTTAACACACTTCACAGTACACAACGATGGTCGTTTGGATTGAAAAGGAAGTAGAGGCTTCCATTATGGAAATAGGTCCATGTTTTATTGATCTGTTGCAATGTTTTTGCTTTAAGTTCGACTTTCTCCAATTTTGAACTGTAAAAAAACTTTCATTAAGTTGTCGCTATGGAGCTGTATGTCTCATGTAGATCGCGACAGCTTCCCTTATTGATTGAAAATGTCGTGCAACGATAGTTGTCGAACATGGCGTGATAAATTTGCCATGGATCAAATGTGACATGAAAATTTAATTTATCTTAGTTCCGAATTTTTACGTGACTTTTCGGAAAGAAGACCTTTCTCGCAATTTGCCTTAACACAGTGCATGCTGTACAACCCAATACCCCTTTGCTTTGATTGAATTAAACCAGAACACTTTGTTTCTCTTTTAATAATCTAAAGCGAGAGAGAAAAGCTGACATTAACATTTAGTGTTATTTTTCGTCATTCTAAATTTTTCTCATTGCCTGTTCTTGATTCACATTTTCCTTGAAGCTTTCCTTGTCAAACTTTCGCTGTTTCCGGCAAAGTCACACCTTGACTGACCGGAAATTGCGTCGAAATCTCAATTAGTCGTTCAAGCGCAACTTTCACTTTCGTGGCGTAATAAACATCCTCATCCAAAGCTTTAAACGATGGATTTAGTGAAGGTGTATGTATTAATACTTCTCGGAGTTGATTTGTTTCTGTCAAGAACAGGTAAGTGAGAGAGGAACATTTGATAATTCTGAAGTTCATTAAGTGCAAGCACTTAATCGAATGTCGAGTTTCATTACTGGGTTACTAGAGATAGTAGCGTTTTAGATTTATTCTGAACGTCAGACTGATTTAGCAATTTACTTTCGAGTTGAATTAATAGAAAATGAATTATTGAGTGAAGAATCTTGAGATAGAATGCGTTTTGAATGATTATGACAAAGGTTTTTAAGACTTGCAAGCCGAGCGACGGACGGGGATGAAATAATTTGCAATGAGAAGGGAGTGGCAGTTTGCGTGTTTAACCATTGATGATCAAATTTCTGTATACTGTATAATGTTGGTTTAGTAATCATGTTAAATAACCCAACATCCTCCGTTAGCTTTCATCCAGTTGTAGCTATAAAACTGTTTGCTTTGTATGGGAGTTACTGTATCACGGACGACGAGTGGGGGATGAAGAAAAGACCGAAGTACGAGTGGTCAGCGGGGAAACAAATTTAATACTTCATATAGAGACATATCAGTTATAGTTGCGGAAAACAATAGCGTTGTAAAGCCGAAATATCAACAGTATACTTCGCTAAATAAAATGTTAAGCAATTTTTCAAAAGTGTTGATGGCACATATATCTTTTACTGCTGTAATAAACAATAGAGGCATCGGTGGCATCCGGAAAGTCACCAAGAAGAATTATATTTACGTTTTGTAACTTGCTGCGTGACGAAAAAAGAAAACCAGAACCGTGGTCCCCAAATGAATTCTCCCACCTTGCCCCAAAAAATTTTCAAGTTTTCCGCAACTTCACCTTTTCCTATTCGTAGGTTCGGCCAAGCCTTTATGGTCATTGGCTCCCGTATAGCCACCAACTATGGCTTATAAATACAGGTGTTTAGTGTTAAATTGTAAAACTCCCCGAAGAAGTCTACGACAGTTAAACGAAACGTGTCGAAGAATAAAGAAATTTTACAGCAACCGTTCGTAGAGTGCTGCTCACCGGTTTAGTTTGAAAGATTCTTTTTTTTTAAATTTGGTGCGATAGCTGTGGTCAGTTTTTCCATGCAGGTTGTCTGGATGTACCTTTCGCAGAGACGTGGGGGGGGGGGACAGAGACACCAACACAACATTTCACCTGCCGTTCGCTCCGAAAATTAAGTTTTCATCCCGAGTTCATTTGTTAAATAAAATAGGAAAAAAAACACTTCGCACGGAAAACAGAATTATTTGAACGCCTGGATCTTCTGAAAAAAGGTCTCCTAAACGAGTGGCACTGATCATATTTAAGCATGGTAAACACGGTAGCCATAACTTGGCTGTTTCTCGAAGCTCAGTGTTTTTTTAAATGTCTTTTTCACGTGAAA